TTTGTGTAAAATTATATACAATTTTACTCAAATGTGTAGAATAGAAGACAGAAACATTTCCCAATTCAGGAAAGTACCATGTGTGATGAAGATGATGTGAATATGCCACATCATCAAGACAACTTATTAAGAATTTGAAAATAGGGTGATCAACAAACATGCAAACATTTGTGTATCCTGCCGAAGAAGGTCCAATCGTGAATGGTCTTATTTATTCCAGACTGTTAAATGTTTCCCATGCAAGTTTTTCTTCCCGGAAATTTGAGGTTTATTGTCAGTTATATTTGGAAAAATATTGTAAATAATTCAGTATTTATGCATCAGTTGTATACAAAACTTATTTTGTTTCATGGTCAGTGATTAAAAGAGTTGTATGGAAAAATATAAAGTTCTGTCTCTCTTTTTTAAAATTTTACTTAGCAACATGTTTAATTGATGACTAAATGTAATACAAAATTATTACTGAAAATCTTTCAGTAATTATACTTGAGCAGTGGTCTGCTATTTTTGAAACAGTGTCAAGACATGAAAACAGCATCATCAATGTTATTAATCATTATATCAATATACTTTGCATATTGTTATCTTTTGAATTATCTCATAGTAGTAGTACTGCCCTTCTTCAGTACTTATAGGCCACGGATATTTTGTATTTACATATGACTGAAGGGTTATTTAAAAAAAAACATTCAAGTGCCTTAATATGCTGAAAGGATAGTTGTTATCTCATGCAGTAAAATGTAAAAAGTATAACATGTAAATGCAATTTTTCAAGCAACAATAACAGAAATATATAGCATGAATGAGTAGATTAAAAAAGTAGGAAAAAAAACATTAAATATATCACAAAAGTCGACATGTTAATAGTTTCAAGATAGTAAGTTAATTAGAAGCCAAGTTATTAATTTTTAAATGATTTTCCATGTGTAAATCCGTGAACTTTGACCTTTTCGCCAACCCAATGATCAACCGGATATCAGCTACCCCCCCTCCATCGCTTTCAAATCCCAGCCTATCAACAAAGAGTTAACAATAGCAGGTGGAGTATTGTTTCATCTGCGATTAAGCTGGAAATAATTAGGCAGCAAAAACAGTTCCACCACCACTGCTCCTATCATTCAGAGTGCAACACAAGTTTCTAAATTTCGAGAAATTTAGATAATTAGACCAAAAGTTATAATTTTTATCACCAATTTATTGGACCCACATGTGAAGACCTAAGAAAAAATCCCTAATGTCGCTATTGAGTTTCATTCAAATTGCCATTTTCAGAGTTTTTAATGAATACAGCCAAAAGTCTTTAATCCGGACCTCAAAGCTACAAACTTTCTGCACATGCGTCAACGCATAATGCATTGACGCATGCACTTAATACCTTTACGCATACGCGTAATACGTTTTCGCATGCGTGTCTAATGTATAACGGATGGTATAAGCTAAGCTAAAATTATCTAATTATCTATTTCAGTTAATGTTGCAGATTGTGTCGTTCCTTAATCTTCTTTTTCGTTTTCGCATGCGTGTCTAATGTATAACGGATGGTATAAGCTAAGCTAAAATTATCTAATTATCTATTTCAGTTAATGTTGCAGATTGCGTCGTTCCTTAATCTTCTAATTGGATCCGGCTTATTATTTTTGCAGACTGTTAGAGCAATTTTTAAAAGTAAGCTTGAACTTTCGATTATTTCAAATAGAATTTCCGATGCTGGAGCTCCCAAAGGATCTACAAGCGAAAGTATGTTTCGATGTCCATCAAGAAAAAAGTGGAATTGCTGCAAAAAAATGGATAAAGGCATATCCTTTGTTTCTCTAACCATTCCGAAATTTGTTTATCAATTTCACGCTGCTCTGTGGCAGGGGGGGGACGCCGCGGCGCGCAATTAACTCGAAGTTGATCTGTCAGCACTATCCTTATCTTCAGGGCAGATGTTTTTATTTTATTTGGCTTATAATTCTTTACTAAGTGTAGTATTTCATTTCGATGTACTCCATCTTTGATATGATTTAAATAAAATTCCTTGTCATTATAAATATCACGAGTACACATCAAATAGTTTTCTGGTTGCAGTTTGCTAATTTCGACTATGCATAATGTATGCTTTATGCATGCGCGTGTGTAAAGAAATGTTTAATAAAGTAAACAAATAAATATTAAGCTTTTTTTTTTTTTTTTTTTTTTTTTTGTAAATTTTGATACCCTTTATATCATAATTGCTCTTTATTTCATAAATTACAGTTTCATATTTTTAATTTTATAATTTCTGCATGCCATCTTACCAGATTTAAACTGATGATCTATAATCCGGAAAAACCGATAATCCAGAAATCCCGACGAGTCCGGATTAAAGACTTTTGACTGTATCTCAGCTGATTAACATCATACGAAGATGAGAATGGTATCAATGGATTCCGACAAATTTTTGGAATCAGGAGATATGTGTCTTAAAATTCAACTAACCGCCGTTCCATAGATATTTTTGAAAATATAAATTGGTGTGTAGCCAAATCCCTCCCCAACAAAGTAAGTGAAACCCCCAAAACCCCAACAAAGTAAGTGAAAAATGTAAGGGAAAAGTAGTTTTTAATTAATATCTCAGCTAAGTCGTACAGAGACATTTTATAGCCTATAACCTTTTCTAATATATCAAAGATATTTCTTGAAAATTTCATGATGATCGGTTAAGTAATTAAGGCCTGAAAAGGGTAACAAACACGCAAACTCGCATTCACATTTATAATATTATGTTAGTAAGGATTATTATAACAATATTTAATATAATGTTATGTAATATATATATATATATATATATGTAAAATATAAAAAATAGGACAGCTTTGCTCTTTGCAAACCAGCAACCTTTAATTAACTTTCTGCAATTCAGGATCTTCCCCCTAGATCAGTACTTTCCATAACATTCGCACCTATTACATAACCGCTACTATAAATAAGGAATATGCGCCATTTTGCGGACAGAAGCTTTTCACTTCCTCGGCTGTTAGGATCTATGCTACTGCGCTTCTCATCTGCCTTCTTTTTGTTAGAATTAGTTATGACACAGAAAGTTTAAATTCAATCATATTTAGTTTAAAACACTATTGAATATGTAATTTGGAGAATTTCATATGAAGTAAAGCATGATCTACGGTGAAAATTGAATTAAAGCTATGGAATAAAGATGTGCACTTAAAAGCTAAATCATCTTGTCTCGTCATTTGGATTCCTCCTTACCACTCTGCAAAAGCAATGCCTGAACTTTGATGCCAAGCTTCATCATGACTGCTGGAAAATATCATATATATATATATACAGTCAAAAGTCTTTAATCCGGACTCGTCGGGACTTCGGCGATTCCGGATTATAGATCATCAGTTTAAATCTGGTAAGATGGCAATGCAGAAATTATAAATTAAAAATATGAAACCGTGATTTATAAAATAATGAGCAATTATGATCTAAAGGGTATCAAAATTTACCAAAAAGAAGCCTAATATTTATATTTGTTTACTTTATTAAACATTTCTTTCAATGCGCGGATGCGTAAAGCATACCTTACGCATAGCCGAAATTAGAAAATTGCAACCAGAAAACTATTTGATTTGTATTCGTGATATTTATAATGACGAGGAATTTGATTTAAATCATATCAAAGACGGAGTACATCGAAATTAAATAATACTACATTTAGTAAGGAATTATAAGCCGAATAAAATAAAAACATCTGCCCTGAAGATAACGATAGTGTTTGACAAATCACTTCCAGTTCATTGCGCGCCGCGACGTCCCCCCCCCCCGCTCAGCAGCGTGAAATTGATAAACAGATTTCGGAACGGTTAGATAAACAAAGAATATGCCTTTATCATTTTTTGTAGCAATTCGTTTTTTGTTTGATGGACATCGAACATACTTTCGTTTTCTAGATCCTTTGGGAGCTCCAGCATCGGAAATTCTATTTGACATAATCGAAAGTTCAAGCTTACTTTTAGAAAATTGCTTTTACAGTCTGCAAAAAATAATAAGCCCTATCCAATTCGAAGATTAAGGAACAACGCAATCATCAACATTAACTGAAATATAATTTTTAGCTGATACCGTCCGTTTATATTAAACGCGCACACGAAAACGTATCTGCACTTGCGCAGACGCATATGCGCAGTCGTAAAATGTCTGCGCGCACGAGTAAAACGCCTATGCGCATGCGTTATAATGCGGCGCATGCGCAGAAAGATTTTAGCTTTGAGGTCCGGATTATAGATCATTCCGGATTATGGTGTCCGAATTAACGACTTTTGACTGTATATGTATCTTATATAACAATATTTTGACATTTTGAAGGTACCTTAAGATATTTTTCATTCTTTATGCATAACATAAACATTTTGCTAAAATCTATATTTTTATAGTTCAGAATATATTTTTATAGCTCAGAATTTTATAAACAAATTCATAATCAAAATTGCTGTTGCAATTTATCGAAAAATAACCAAGATCTAATTTTTTCGAAAATGCCACTAATTCAAACAATTTGCTATTGCCCATCCAACAATGAATATTTTTTTTATGCAAGTGTACCCAATTTTTTGATTGGTGTGGAAATACTGGCAAAGAGCTATCTAGGATGCTCTAGATGTAAACAAACAAAAAAAAAAAATCCCTTCTGGAGGCTAAAACTTGGAAGCCCTGTGTCAGTTTGTAGTGCAGGGTTAGTGTCTCCTTTTATTCTTACCTCCATGGTACAGCTATTTGGGGGGGGCGTGAATAGAAAAATATATGTATATAGCAGGGGTTCTGAACTGGAAAAGAGGGATTTCAGTTTCAGAGAATGCAATCAACCTTTTATTTAATTGTTAAGTATTTAGTTATAGTTTATGAATATAAAAAAATTCTTACATTCAAGTTTTGGTTTGATTATCTCTCCAATACAAATCATTGCATAAATAATGTAAAAACTGTAAAATTTTCAAAATTAAGCTCTGTAGCAAAGGATTTTATTTTTTCAGATTTAGCTGATGAGATGTCATTTCTTCATATTATACAGTCATTCTTTTCAAAAGACATGCTTGCGTGACATTGTGAAAACAATTTTCACATTTGAATTTCCAACCATTAAAGCTACTCCTAAACTCTTTGATCCTAATATTACAAATGTACGATTTGCAAGACGTAATGAACGTATTTTCAGAAAGATCAGAGGAGGAGGTCGTCCTGTACGTGAAGGTGTTGTACCCCCAGAACCGAGAATATATGGCTGGAGACCTATTTATCCTGCTGATGGGAAGTATACTACAAAGCCATTACCTATAATAAAATTAGGTGGAAGACATCCTGAAACAGGTAATATTTTTTAATTCGTTGTATAAATACGATTTTTCTTGCAATATGGATGGGGGATCTCAAATATAAAGATCCTTTTCACAAAATTCTTTAGAGAGCCATAGCTAGCAACAGGAATTACGGTAAGATAATTAACCTTTAACTGCTGTGACAGTTTTTTCGGCATAATTACTATGAGCAGTCTCACGGACCGCTTTAAAGAAACATGTAAAAATACATACTTTTATGCCTTTTTAAAGAATGTTATAGATACTTTATGCATATTTATGGAATTCTAATTAATTTAAATCAATATATTTTAAACATAAATCATTTAATTTTACACAGTTAAATTCATGTAAAAAAATGACTAATTTTCTTCGTTTTAAGGAACAAAGTTTTTAAAGAAAAAAATATTTTATTAAACAGAGGAAGATATGTGACTTTATTAAGCATTACTGTCAATTAAACCATAATTCTATAACAATAAATTTAATTATTACAAAATAATATATTAGTATTTGATACACAGTCAAAACATATTTTTTGAGAGCACCGAAGACACACTGGTTCCTTGTATTCCAAGCATTTATAAGCTGTTTTTCTCTTCTTACGAGGTGGGCACAGACTACATGTTTTTCTTTCCTCTAATTTGTCTTCTTGATTTGATAAATCTATTCACTGAATTTCCAAGGATTCTTCTAATTGTTACCTTCAGTTCCCTTGGCAAAAAAGCAGAAGTTATCCCAACTTTCAGATGTGGTTTAATAAGTTGATTAGCTAATAAAAGAATGAAATTTTTTCTTTTCAGTTTTGTAGCATCAGGATATGACTGGAACAATATGTATGAACATTCCAAGTATCTTCGGGCTCTGCTGTAGAGCCTATTTGCAGGATACTTCAGACCAAGGAACTGAATTATTGTATTATGCTTTGGTGTTCGTACTGCCCGATTTGGTTCTTTTTTGCACCATTTGAAGTGCTTTTTCCCATAAAAATTATCATTTTATTCACAGTCATTAGAAAAATTATGATATTCATCTGCAGAAAGCTCAGATTCACTTCTGCTTTCACTGTGAATAAATACTACATGATTCTTCAGAATCAGAATATTCTACATAAAAAATATTGTTGACAAGATATTAAATTTCTTTTTGACTGAGATACGTCGGATGTTTTCTTGTGAAATATGAAGCCATATTTATCACTTTTACGAAAAACAAGCATCTGATAAATAACGTCTATTGTCCACTAAAACTGGTACACATCTGCAGTGAGCGGTCTCCTAGACCACTTAGAAAGTTAAAAAAATGTGGTAACTGAAACCATAATAAAGCTAGAAGTGTGAAACTGCATTTGTGACCTTGTGGGACGTGTTTGGGATGGTAGAAGGAAGGACAGGGACCATTCTCCGTTTTTAGAGATGGAAACAACAGTTTGAAAATCTTCAGCAGTCTCTCAGACCGCTCATAGTAGTTAAAGGTTAAACATGTAGTACTATAGTTTCATAGATCCAACAGAACCTTGTTCTTCAACTGCAGATGTGAAACAAATCCTAGTTAACAAATTTCGGAGCTATAAATTAGTTGGCTGATGATTGTTTTTGCAAAAACCACAGGTACCAACTATTATTTTCACAGATTTGTTACAAATTTTGTTGATACTGCAATAACCAAAGAAAATTTATGATGAGATCTCCATTATTTTTTATTCATAATACTATTATAGATTTCCCTATGTGCTACTTCATGGATTCCTTTGTACTTCAAAACGTTTTATCCCATGTAATATTTTTTCACTTAAAGGCTTAGCCTTTCATGCTTTTCAGGAATCGTAACTGAAGAAAAGTTACTTCTAGCAAATCAATTATAACTATGTAGGAAGTGAGATTTAACCCTTTCAGACACGGTGCGCACAGGAAAAAAAAAAAAAAAAACAAAAAACACTCTGTACACACAGAAAAATTGATGGAAAAGACATTACTTTTAAACTTCATTATTTATACTAGATGGCAGCAGAACACACACCAGTCCATACATTTTAGCCATGTTTAGGTTTTAAGCACACTCATTTTTCAAAGTAATCTTCTAGATTTTTTTTAGGATACAAAAGGAATTATTTGAAAAGAAATTTGTATGTTATTTTCTTCGCTGTATGCTAATCTCTTTATTCTGTATTAGTTTTAAATTTTTACCTTGAAATCTTGGCTAAAATTGAATGACAAACATCTGGTGTGCCTAGAGAAACACCAGGACCAGACCAACAACTGTTATCTTTTTCACTGCAGCATTCTCTTCGGTGAGCACATTCGCTACAGAAAGATGAATCGTCAATCTTGGCATCAAGGTTTCATTTCCTGTTTTCGTTTTTTTTCTTAGGGGGGAGGGAAGATTTTGTTATCAGCTAAGAAATTGGGGTGTTTTTCTGAAGGTCAGAGATAATTTTATCATTTTCACTAAAACAGTTCTCTTTTTTTTTTTTTCTTTCGCTTTTGTTGAAAGAAGTTTTGTTAGCTTTACATTTTGATAGTTTTGAGTTGTAGATTTTTATTTTATACTTTATATTTTCTTAATTGTAGATTTTAATTAAATTTTTTCTGATTTTTAATTATTTTCCAAATGACGTAGAGGGCTGACCATTTCGGAAGCACTGAAAATGCTAAACGACTTGCTTTCAGGTATTGAATCCGATACGGATTCGGGTACATGTGCAAAACATGCAATGTTGGGTTGTGCTTTTTTAAAGTTGGTGTCATTTGCTTCAAAATATACCACCATGGAAAAAAATAGACGAAAGTGTAAATGTGAAATGTAAATAATGTAAATATCATATAGCCAAGTTATCTTATTTTCATTTATGTGCATGTCATTAACATATAACCAAGAAGAGCTTTTATTGGTGCGTTGAGAGTTGTAAGGCTCACCGTGGTGCACCCTGAGTAATAATAAATTAGCTATGGTAATCAGAAATTAGTGTTTTTTAATCGTAGGCAAAATATTTTACTCTAACGCACTTCCCAGCAGTGCTTGTTTCAGTCCTCTTTTCGTGACTGTATTCATTCAGTGAGCCGGCTTCGAGCACAACCACAGAATGAAAATGGTAACTGCTATCTTTACGAAATTTTACCTCTGTGCTCCTCTAGGCCTGATTGCACTGCCATCCCCCCCCTTGTCGAAATTCCAAATTTTAATGCTAGTGTGCCAGAAAGGGTTAAAGAGGCATCCAGCTTCCGAAAACTCTCACACATAAAGGCTTATGCATTTTCTTGAAACTTAAATTTGTGTTAGAAGTCAAACCAAAGCTAGTTGATCACATTTGTTCCTAGAAGTCAGGTGGTGCTATATGAGATTTGCTTTTCTTGTAATAATTACATGGCTTTTCTTTTCTTGCTGTCAAAAAGGTTAGAGCTCATTTCTAAATTGTTTAGATTTGGAGTTTGAATAATTCTAGTCACCAATAGTTGAATATTTATATTTTATATAGAAATTTTATCTTTTCCAAAGACATATTTAATTTGAATATTTTTCTTTCATTTTATCACTTTCGAAGTAGCGATATACATTTCTTAGCATTTATTTATTTTTTATATCTACTGTAGCCTGTTCAGTATTATTAAAACCTTGTATTTCAGTTAAGTTGTATTACCATACACTTGTATGGTTAATACAACTTAACTGTAGTAAGTGTAGGAAGAATAAAGGCTTAGTATTCAGTTCACGAGCAATAATTACATTATATGTTATTTTACTTTTTCTTTACGCGTGAGCGTAAGACCTTGACTACTGCGCAAATGCATGTGCGCCAGTGCAGAATACGTTTTCGCCTGCGCGTTTAATGTATAACGGAATCAACAGCACCAGCAATCAAGATCTTCAAGCAAAGTTATCAATCCGTTCGCTTAGAATCACATCTCCCGCAGATTTTAAATCTGCCTAAGAATATTTTCACCGTGTTCCCTTTTATTATTTTCACTATCCAACACAAGCCATATGCCAATGAGCCTATTAATCGTAAACTCTTTCCTATCCGCTTTTTGCTTTAGTGTTTGTATTGTGTTAAAAAATTTAAAAACAAAAAAAAAGTAAAATATAAAAGTACAAAAAATTATAAAAACCTAAAAACTTAAAAAAAATTATGATGTTTAAGTTTTTAATTTCTTTCCTATGCCTAAACTTTCTCGAGCCTGTGGCTCCCTCTATAGAGCATCAAGTCAATTACTTATGCAAAATTTTTCCTATTTCTGCTCACTTTTAGTAATTCTGATGTGGAGGTACATGGTTTTGAACTATAGGCACTCCGAAATTTGCAAATCATTGGCATTGTATAACGGATGGTCTAAGCTAAAATTATCTATTTCAGTTAATGTTAATGATTGCGTTGTTCCTTAGTCTTCGAATTGGATCCCGCTTATTATTTTTTGCAGACTCTAAGAGCAATTTTATAAAAGTAAACTTGAACTTTCGATTATGTCAAATAGAATTTCTGATGCTGGAACTTCCAAAGGATCTACAAAACAAAAGTATGTTTCGATGTCCAACAAACAAAAAGTAGAATTGCTGCAAAAAATGGATAAAGACATGAAGAATGTGACAGAGAGGTTAGTGAAAACGAAAAAATTTCGATTGACAAGTTAGTCGGTATTCTCGGCACAGCAATTAACGGGACTTGAATAGCGGAACTTTGTAATTGAACAAGAAATTATGTCTCTTTATAGAATTAAAGAGAAAGTATTATCACATAAAACGAAGCAACTTAAACAACTTCCATTGAAAGAAATAAATGTTTAATAAAGTAAACAAATAATATTAAGCTTTTTTTTTTTTTTGTTTTGTAAAATTTTTGATACCCTTTAGATCATAATTGTTCTTTATTTCATAAATTACGGTTTCATATTTTTAATTTTAGAATTTCTGCATGCCATCTTACGAGATTTAAACTGATGATCTATAATCCGGAATCGCCAAAGTCCCGACGAGTCCGGATTAACGACTTTTGACTGTATTCATTAGAATATTGAAAAACTTGCCATTTGAGATTTTTAAATTGGTTGGGGGGGGGATCTCTTACCTTGAAATTCAAAATTTTTATAGCTAGTGAAATATTTCTTATTATAAGTAGAAACATATTATAAAGTAGATCTCATGTCTCATGTTTATAGTTCTGTAAGAAAACAATGTAATGCACTGAATTTTGTATAATATTATAATACTAAGTTAATTGCCTCTATTTAAACTATATTTATAGGGCGTGTTGTTGTGAGAACAATTGGTGGAGGCCATAAGAAACTATTTCGCTGGGTTGACTATAAAAGAGAAGGTCCTGCAGATGGAAGCACTTTAGAAGAAAAAGTTTTTCAAGTAAGATACGATCCATGCAGAACAGCAAGAATAGCTTTGGTTGCATCTGGAGACCACAAAAGATGGATATTAGCATCAGATGGCATAAAAGTTGGAGATATAATTAAAACATCAGCAGTCATACCCAGGATACCAAGTAATTTGGCATTTTATATCCTTACATAATCTATTATAAAACATGCCTGATACTGAATTGAAATATAAATTAGAAACTAATTCTGAAGTATATGGTAGGATATATTGGATATGAACTTTATGCAAAGCTACAGAGTATGTTTACACATTTCTAGAACAGTATTGGGAGCTGTTTAATTAATGTTTAAAATGAAAAGAGTACTATTTTAAATGTTTGATCTGATAACTTTTTTTTCTGGCCTGCATCATTAATAAATCTGCATTGTGATTTCCATGATACATGACCTTCTCATAAAATTTCAAGGGTATTGATTTCCTACTTTGCAGAGTAGATATTGATTGATTCATTTATTTATTTCATTGATTTCCTACTTTCTCTTTTATTACTTTTCAAAGTCCACCAATCATGGTGGGTCTGCTTAGAAAGAGGTCTTTTCAAAAGACCAGAGCCACAATAGTCCATAGATGAAATGTCATGGAACTTCACAGAAATAGGTAGAAAAGCAATACTTGTATCAGTTTAAATTTTTTGGAACTACTCTGATATGTGCCCTTGAGTCGCAAACATTTTTGGCGAGAAACTCCACGCTGCCATATTACTATCTAAATTTTTTGTCTACATTTTGAACTTTAAGCCTAAAATGTCTCCAAAAACGCCATTTTCGCACATGCAAAAACCACGTTTTGAACACACAATTTAAGCTACAAATCCGAAACATAAACAAAAAAATGTAAGGTTTCTAACCAAAAATATTTTACAAGAATCCATGTACACGGCGATATGTTTTAACTTCAAAAAACATCTAACAATGGCACAATCTAGGCAATGAATGAATCTACGAACTATGCACACCTTGCTTTAATAAATTAACATAACAACAATAAATTTCAAAGAATACCATGTACACAGCATTCTGTTTTAACTTTAAAAAACATCTACGAATTGGGCAATCTAGACGCTACGCACTGATCAACAAAATAAACTAAAATAAATTTCAAATAATTTTAAAAAACAATAATAATGACAGAAATTCGCACTTACTATGAATTAATGCTTTTTCAAACAGCAGAAATACCAATTTCATATAGCCTTTAACATGCCACCATGTAATCACTATCATATTTATATGACAGCCAGACACACTATCCAGAAAATTCATACTATGGTTCACAAATAAATAAAATCACAAATCCCTACTTCTATCATGTACAGCCACTAAAAATAATCTGCCAGACCCTCTTTCCACACCTCCAAATACCCACTGCCCTTCAACAGGATGATCACGATATTTCCTTTTGCCAAACTTCAATTCAACAACTTCCAACATTTTACCTTTCCCCCCTATCTTCTCAGACACAGAGCATGACACAAACCAACGAGCTCCAGCGATTTTTCAAGCGATAAGATTTTTCAATGTCAACAGGGTTGCCATATAACACGCAATCGTGCCAAAAACCAGCGCAGAACACCTATCACCACATTTGGTGAAATTAGGGCGTATATCAGAGTTGCACCAATTTTTTCAAGGAATGCATTGATACTTTGAAAAGTATGACTTGTTGCTTTAATGAAGATTCTCTTTTTGAACGTCACTGGGATAAATAAATGGAATTTCTTCTGTAAATATTAGATACAAAACATTCTCTTGGTAGTACGTTGAATTAATTTTAACACTTTTTACCACTCTTCATGTTTTTAAATTCTCATTGTAAGAGAATCTTGCAACAATCATACACCCCTTACTAGAACTTTCTTTGCATTGATGGAACTAGGTTCATTCATTTTTTCCTCTTTATTTTTTATATTAAATACACTTTTGGTTGTTATTGCTATCATTTAACCCATACCTGGGGAGGTGCAGTCTCAGAGACATCTACAGGTGTTGTTCCTATCACCCCTATTCTATATTTAATCTGATTGAGTGGATTCTCCTGTTACCTTCTCCTTTTGTGACCTTGATAGTTCTCACATATTGGCTAACATTTTTTGCACCTGCATCATAGTAAAATTGTTCCCCATTATCTGAGAGCTGTATGTCAGACCGCACCTCCCTCTCAGAGTTACGATTTCTGTCCCAGGTGGAAACATGGTTCTGAGACTCGGTCCGAGAAATATCATATATCTTTCTAATTCGCGTTATGCAGAAGTGCTGTAAAGAATTCTTGATGAAGTGGAAAGTGAATTTAGCGATGAACATGAATGCCAAGAAGATTTTGCAAATGGAAGTTCGCATTCCACGACATCAGAATTTTCTGAATCTGACAATGAATGCACTGAACCAGAGACTGAATCCATTTCATCTATAAAATATTATTATGGAAGGAACCGCTTCAAGTGGTCATCTATTGAACCTCAACGAAATGTGAGATTCCCCGTGCATAATATAGTTCATCTTCCAGGATTAAGAGCATATGGAAAATTGGGTGAAAATACGGATTTTAAAAATGTTTGGGAAGTCCTTTTCACAAACGAAATATTAGAGAAAAAGAAAGAACTGAAAACTTCATATTTATGCGCAAGTTGTAAAATGCCAGTTTGTTTGGTATGTACACAAAAATTATGTCACAAATATGCACAAGAATAAGCTGAGTAAGTTGATATCTTTTAAGAACACAATGATATTACTGATAGTAAGGTACTGTCATTTTTTTTATGTTTCGTACAATATTTGTATTTTTCATCTGAATGTATCTATCACATGTTAAATTAATGGAAAATAATTATTATTCATAAAAAATTAGTTATTCTGGTTTGTTTTCCATAATTTACATTTGCAAGTCGTTTTTCATAAAAGAGTTCATGTTGCAGAAAAGATGTTCCTAGTGTTGGTTGATTTCTTTGTAAAATATATATATATATATATTTGTTTGAAGATAAGTGTTTATAGAATGTGTGGGTAAAAAACTTTTTTTTAATATTTTGATTAGAACATTTTATTTAAACCATAACGAGACACGGTCTCTGTGACCTCATGTCCCCGGTTGTGTCCCAATATTTGACCTCCTCTGTTACGGGTTAAATAAACCCATGTATCTCCAGCTAAATAGTTTTCATAAGGGTTTTACAAATTATTTTGTGCTAAGCTATATATTCTGCAAAAGCAGGTGAACATTATGTTTTTTAGCTTTATTAGTTATATTGTTGCTACAGATATAAAGACTTTGCAATTGATTTCTACATTGCAGACTTTCCCTTGTTACCAACAATTTAATTTTAAAACATGAGAAACAGTATGTAACCTTTTTCAGGTATTCATTTGGAGTCTTCTCTCCATGTACAAGCAGTGACTGATAGTTTTTTTATTTCTGATTGCTCAATTTGCACTTAAATTTTAATACCATACTTTTCACTAAGTTTTCAAATTGTGGAATAGGAATATTCCTTTTTCAAAAGTGCAATAACATATCCTTTAGTTCTGCAGCTTGTTTACATGTGACATTCTGCATTTCAAATAATAAGCTGTTGCCAAAAATTTTTATTCTAAAACATTTACTTTTTTAAAAATTCTTTATTGAAATAATTCTAAAAATGTATAAACAACTTGTATCTTCAGAAAAGATACAAGGCTAGAATGGACTTCACATTTGGCAACTGATTACCAAACTTGGCACCTTTCATTAACAGTTTTTTAAGTGATGATTCAGCACTTGATAGTTAATTTTAAGACAAAATAGCCTGCATGTTTTTTGTTTCCTTAATTTATATCAAATTTTTCATTATCATCTAAATACCACATATATGAATTTGATAACATTTGAAAACTGAACACCTACTTAAACTTGAGAAAGAAGAGTTAGCAATGCATTCTTTGCAGTTAAGATTTATTTATTTATTTTTTACTTTAAAAAATGTTCACTTAACTGGAAATAAAATACATAAATTTGTTGAATTTGGAAATAAGTTACTTTCTCATAATTTCTAAGATTGTAATGAATTTGGTATTTTGGAAATAATGAACCAAAGCTTTAAATTTTTATTTTTTCTTAAATTTCCAGTTTAAAATTACATTTTATAGCAGGCATTATAAAAATCAAATGTGATAATTATCTCCTTCTAAAACTCATATTCTTCCAGTCATGCTCAGACAATCACTGTCTTGTCCTGTTTACTACTTCTTAATTTTTTAAAAATAATAACAAAAAATTATGAACTAAATAATTCAGACTGCTGTCAAACAACCCAAAGAAGAATGTACCATAAAAACTTCAAAATATTAAAAAAGTGTTAAATACTGTAAAACAAACTAAAAATTATGCAATAAATGGTTCCATATGAATTAAATATTAGAAATGTAGCTCTAGAAAAAATTTTTATTAATTAAAAAGTTGAATGTTCATAAGAATTGTCAGTGAGTATATTATAAATTTAATCTATTTTTATTTTTATGAACTAGATATAGAGTCAAAAGTCGTTAATCCGGACTCGTCAGGACTTCGGCGATTCCGGATTATTTTTTCGGATTATAGATCATCAGTTTAATCTGGTAAGGATGGCATGTAGAAATTGATAAAAGTTAAAACTGTATAAAACTGTAATCAATTTAAAAAAAAAAACAATTAATTTATGAAATAATTTATGAAGGGTATCAAACGTTTTATGTTATAAGTTTACAAAAAAAAAAAAAAAAAAAAAAAAAAGCTTAATATGTATTTGTTTACATAAACATAAGTGTTCTTCGTATGTGATAATACTTTCTCTTTAATTCTATAAAAAGACATAATTTCTTGTTCAGTTACAAAGTTTTGCTGTTCGTGTCCTATAATTGCTGTGTCGAGAATACCGACTAATTTGTGAATCGAAATTTTTTTGTTTTCAATAATCTCTGTGTCACTTTCTTCACTATTGGAAGCAAATTATAATGATGAGGAATTTGATTTAAATCATATCAAAGACGGAGTGCATCGAGATGAAATACTACATTTAGTAAGGAATTATAAGCCAAATAAAATAAAAACATCTGCCCTGAAGATAAGGATAGTGCTGACAGATCAACTTCCAATTCATTGCACGCCGCGGCGTCCCCCCCCCTGCCGCAGAGCAGCGTGAAATTGATAAACAAATTTCGGAATGGTTAGAGAAACAAAGGATATGCCTTTATCCATTTTTTGCAGCAATTCCACTTTTTGCTTGACGGACATAGAAACATACTTTCACTTTGTAGATCCTTTGGGAGCTCCAGCATCGGAAATTCTATTTGACATAATTGAAATTTCAAGCTTACTTTTATAAAATTGCTCTAATAGTCTGCAAAAATAATAAGCCGGATCCAATTCGAAGATTAAGGAACAACACAATCTGCAACATTAACTGAAATAGATAATTAGATATTTTTAGCGTATACCATCCGTTATACATTAAACGCGCATGCGTAAATGTATTATGCGCATGCATACACGCATATGCGCAGCCGTAAAGGTCTGCGCATGCGTCAACGCAACGCATGCGCAGAAAGTTTCTAGCTTTGAGGTCCGGATTATGGGTGTCCGAATTAACGACTTTTGACTGTATATCAATTAGATACATTGTTAAGAAAGTAAAAACCAATGAACGGAACAAGAAGAAGCTAAATTATCAAGAAGTGAACTTACTGTCTTTAAATCATTCAGTTTATTAATTAACAACTCGTTAATTGTACCTGAGAGAAATTCAAATTTTATGCTTTAATGAATGAAGAATAGTAAGAATGGACTATGCCAGAGGGCATGAAGAAGGTTCATCATTTGTATTTTTCAAAAGGAACACTCTGCTTTTTATTAATAACAGTCTGATTAAACATTCTTAGAATTTACACATACAAATTTTATTTTGTTAGGATGGAGCTATTTGTTAGGTGAAAACTCTACACTCCTTTTGAGGTATAAAAATAACATATGGGAAATATGTTTATGTTAATCATATAATCCAATTCCCAAAGGCTATTTTACAACAAAATAATGTTTAATTAACTGTGAAGAAGCAATGAAGTGTAGTGAAAAGGACCAGTAGGAAATGTGAGTGCTGATCAGCAGCCAAGTAGTTATAAAGTGCTGAACATTAGTAATTGGACTTAAATTCTCATCAAGAGCACTAGCCCGTAATCTGGTAACTTTCAGTTGCATTTTCGTAATTAACTGAGAACAAAAGTATGTTTTTAAAGACTGATTGCTGTTTCCTGGTACTTTGCAGTAGCAATGCTTTGAAAACTGCATTTCAGGTTATTATTATCTTCATCATTTTTAGGATTTTACAGGATCTGTAAGCCTGAAGTGTATCCATTGAGGGAATGTAACTATGTAGAAATTCAAGAAATTCCATTTTGCATGGCCTGCACAGTGCTGATGACGTAATAATCGGGAACTGAAACTTTTAACTCAAACTAAAATCTTTCTCTTCATGTGCATATTGCATAACTACACACTTCAGCTTCTCTGTCTATGCTGCTAGGACATAATTTCTATATTTTTTCTTCCTGTCGCAAAAGTATCAAAAATGAAAATGGCGTGACTAGAGTGCCTAGCGATTGTGGCCATAAATGTCAACTGGAAATAAAAATGGAATTAAAGCTGCCTCAACTGCCCAGTTTCTTAAATATTACAAACTCAAATATTAGCCTACTATGCAATCAAAATTCTTCCTCTTCAATGTAGATCTACGAGCCATTCCATTTAGCATCAACACTGCTCCGTCTTTTCCTTGCTATTATTACATATATAATTTTTTTGTAAACTATTAGTTTTTTTTAAATCCTAATGCATCTTTATAAGCTATGATCATAATTTATACTTTTAAATAATAAAAGCTTGAAGAAAAGCAATATTCTTAAAGCATTATCATTTCTCAATTTATTCTGGTCATTAATGCAGTATAACCACCAATATCCATTATATCTTATTACTAACTTTACAATTTGTTTTTAAATACAGCTGAATAACTGTACAAATATGTTCTGTGAAACACCATCTGTTTTAATGCAGGTTATGGAATAATTTCCTATTTGTGATACTTTTGCTACCGTATTTATTTAATGATTCATCTGGCTCGCTACACATATGAATGAAATATACTGAAATCATTAAATATAAGATAAAATTTCTGATTCAGGTTTTTCATTAATTTCAATAATAGCACAGCAGCAAAAACATAAAAATTCAAAAATTTCAAACCATAATCCGATCTTTAATCCCAATAAGAAGATATTTATTGGCCCCCAAATGGAAAGATGTATAATATATATTCTAGCATATTTTGAAATTAACCGTTAATTATTGCCGCCTTATTTTCTAACAATTTCTAACAATAGATGTTAGATCTCTAGATTTCCTTGAGTCTGTTTAAAATCAATAAATAAAATTAAGCCTGTTTAAAACCAATAAATAAAATTCACAGTAAAAGTACTTCTTGATATTGAAACTAGTTTATAAGGGTATACAGCATTTGAAAATAATTTTGATGAGAAGACATTACAGCGAAAGGCACTGTGGAATGTGGCACACTCTGTGTCATTACTTAAAGTTAATATTCAGTAACAGTAAATTATTAATATTTTATGGATTGATTTTTAATAAAAAATATTCCAGCATTTTTGAGAGAAATTAAAACTGATTAATTTATTTGACTTACTAATTACTATATTAATAAGATCTACAAAAGATTTATGTGTCTTTTTTTGTTGTTATTGGACATTTAATCTTTTGTTAAAAATACTGATATTTAATGTATGTCCTGTCCCCCCAAAATACTTATTTTTTTAAATCCACAAAAGGGTCTGAAAATTATTTATTTGAACAAATAATATTTTTTTTGGGGGGGGGAGGAGATCCAAATTCTCCTATCCATTGTATGATATCACCTATATGAAACAATTTTTTAAACTTATTTTATAAATTATGAAAATAAATGCTTTTTTATGTTTATGTTATAGTTCGCCCTAATGATGGAGATGCTTATCCAGTAGGAGCTCTACCACTAAGTACTTTAGTTCACAATATTGAAATTACACCTGGAGGAGGTGGTTTATTTTGCCGGGCTGCCGGTTCAGCTGCACAAGTTGTCAAGAAAATTGATAACAAATGCATAATTCAACTACCATCAAAACAGCAGGTTTTACTAGATGAAAAATGTATGGCTGTAGTTGGAAGAGTTTCTAATACTGATCATGGTAGTAAACCAATCGGAAGTGCAAATCGTCTGAGATGGTTAGGAAAGAGACCACGCTCAGGTTTGTGGCATAGAAAAGATGGTTATTGTGGTCGAAAAATACATCCTCCAAAGAGCATACTGGATACTTTAGCTCCAAGAGAAGAAAAACCAGAATTTTATAACTTAACATGGAAAGAAAATTAATAAAGCTAGCATTTAAATTTGAGTGTCATATCCTATTTATAGCTTTCAAAAAATGTTTAGCAATTCATAGAATTTCTAAAAAATATAACTATGTATTTTTTCATCAAAATCAACTATCTAAATAAACATGCTTTTACAAAGATGCACTTTGTACACATTCCTGAACATGGCAATTAAGGATCAGCAAATGGTAATTGAATAAACTAAAGCAATTAGCTATGCAACCAACTTTACTCTTGTAATACCAATCTACAAATAAAACAGAAATGTATGTGGAGTGCATTATTATTAAACATAATTCAATATTTAAAATAATTCAATATTCAAGGCTTTTTCTGGATTCCAAATTTCAGAATAAAACACACAAGTTACCAATTAATTAACATTAAATTAGGAATACAATATTTTGAAATATATATATTTTATACTTATCATAGTCACACAGTCTAGAAGACTTTCATGGTTATTATTCAAAAATTATTTTATTTACAAAAAATATTCATTAAAAAGCATTAATTTCACTTCATTGCAATCCAAGAAAATTTTACAGTTTAAAATAATAGATAATTATATATATAATTCATTACATTGGCTTTAAAAATGAATGAGAACAATTTTACATATCTGTCTATATATATATATTAAGAGCTGCAAAGCATTTACATGTCTTCTTTTTTGGACAATTTATATTAGTTTCCTTCTTTATAAAACCTTTCCTAAATTCTATTTAGTAAGCTAATCAATGTTCCTATGAGTCTTGTTTCACCTCTAATTTGTTAATATCTTCAGCATTATCCCTTTGAAAAACAATTTTCTTTTACATTATGCAATCAATTTTCAATTCTATTCCTCGGTTTTTCACTTCTGAATTTTTAGATTTCAAGATTTTTTATTGTTTGAAAAATTACTTATGTTTAGAATGTGCAGAAGTTGTTAATTTTATCCCCCCCTATTTTGTCTATAATGATAGTAACTCTAAAACATGAGTATGAAATGATAGGTCGTGCATTGACATACATAGGATGAATGTTTTGAATTGCCAATTTTCAATATTTTTATTAATAGAGAAATTCCTTTCTACAGATGTCTCTTCGTATGACAACATCAATATCATTTTTACAATTTTCCATGTCTGTGAATAGTGAAAATAGAAAATAATGGAAAGAGAAATATGTCAAGAGAAACATCTGGTATCAAAAGTAAAAAATTCAAGTAATTTTGTTTCACTGCTCTTTTTCCAAAAATTCTCTAAACAATAAAAGAAAATTACACAATCTTCCTGTAAACCACATCTATTTTATGCTAATACTAGGAACACATTTTTCAGAGGCCTTTTTCTGGATTTTTAACCATTTTAATTGTGGGTTTATACATCTTGCTGAATTTTCCAAGATAGAAGGTCTATAATTAAGAGAAAATTTGCCTCAAGAGCCAACCCACTGTAATATCTGTAAAATTTAAACGAGTAAAAAACCAAATTTTTTGAAAAAAAATTCAGAAAAAAAGTGAATTTTATCCAGGAACTGATACATATGAAAATATTTTGAAATAAAAAAATGTTAAAGTAGATGAATGAAATCAATTTTAGAATAATAACAGTAATTTTTCTGCTTTTGCTAAAAATTGATTCAGAAATTGGGATTTATGTATATTATTTTTTAGAATCGAGACACGCATTAAGTTGCTAAAAGAAAAGGTAAGGACACCTTTAAAATATGAGGGGAAATAAAAATGTTTTATTTTAATGTTATTTTACTAAAATATAATTTATTATGTTTTCTTAATAGTACTTTTATATGCATAAACAAAATTTTAAAATTTACAAACTTTTGAATCAAAAATTTTATAGATAAATTAATCTTAAAATTGCCAAAATATTGACATGTCACCAAATTTAGCGACACACAACAAAAGAATTTATATTTCAAAAAAGCAAAATAAATACTATTTTATAAATGAAGTAAAATAAAATAATGACTGTCAAAAGTATGGTAAATACATATATCTGGATCCTGCCTTTCTGAGAAAATGAAGGAGAAATTAAAAATTTAGAAATGCCATCCTTTAAAATCTCAGTGCATCTGTAAAAGAAATATTTCAGATAAGTTATTGAATTTTTCTTATTTTTAAGTTTTAAAAATTTCTGCAAACTTGAAAATGTGAATTTTATGATTTGTATGATTTTACATTATATCAAAACTATTTTATCTTACAACAATAATGTGCCACATCTAGAAGCAAACTTATGAATATTTTACATTTAAAAAATTGTTTTCAATAATGAATAAAGAATTTTGATTGAAACCTATTCTAAATGTTATTTAAGCTATCTGTGAAAGTACAGTTTAACCAATGACTTTATGCAACATACTCAAATGTACAAATTTTATCTGTAATAAATTATCTGATAGCAAAAGAATTGTAATGAATGCATTAATTAAAACATAGACAAGCTTCGGCGAATTCAGAAATCAGTTTTCTCACAATTGAAGTTTTATATAAACACAACAAGTACTGAAAGACTTTTTTTCAACTTGTCAAATTTTTGTGCATGTTAAACTTTAATTGCAGAAAAGCAAAGCTTTCATCACTCGAATAATTTATTCTAGCAGTGCAAAAAAAATTTGAAAAAGCTGAAATAACAAAAATACTGAATTTTAATTAACTGTCAATAATGCATTGTTTAGAACTATGCATACTTGGGCTTTTATAACATGCAAAATTATGAACATGGCCAACTGCCCGAATAGCGTCAAAATGAAGTTTTTGGTTAAATCTTTGAGTGTTAAAAATGATTTAAATTCATAGCTTTATGAGGACACTTGCCTAGAAAATATAAATGGAATATTTTTTTGAAAAACTTTTTATTTTATTCAAATTGAAATTATCAGTTTGTGTTCATGTTTAATACATTATATATTATAAATTTGGACAATGGCCGTAAATCAAAATTTTTTGTTCTATACCCCTCACTGAGTTTTGAATTTGAAGCTATTATATACAATTGCCTAATAAAAGGATATTTTTTGACTGACACATATTAACATTTACAAGTAAACTTGTGCACTGAAAACTTAATTTCCATACGTTTACTTTGCTTTACATAATTGTAAATACTTACATTTAATTTACAAATTTAACGTCAATCATGGTAAAAAACTTGTGCAATCATAATAGACATCTTTTTTGTCATGGAATTTTCCGCTTTTGTGTATAGCCATAAGTAAGGAAAACTGTGAGTTTATCAATTGTGCCATAATGATATTGTTTTATTTAAAATCTAGAAAATATCAGTATATTTTACTATGCAACTACTTATGTTTTGGAGGTGGATAAGGGAAAATAAACAGGTGCTCTTTGAAATCTTCGTGTTGAAAAAATATAAGAGCATTAATGAAAAACGACATCGGATTTTGATGGATTGATTCTCACAGTTTTATTAATCTCTATACCTATAATTCATTAACTTTCTATATACTCATATATAGAAAGAATTAAACAGAAACACTAGTCTAATGCTCATGATACTTACTTATTTTTTAAATTTTATTTAATTTGATTATGGCAAAACACTCAAAGGTTATCTGTCTAAGGGTAGGGATGTCTTCGTGGAGGAATTTCTGAGGGACACTGTTTCGTATACACGTTGCACTTAGGGAAAATAAAGAAAACACCTACGCAGTGAGCTCTTTTGCCAAAACTCGAATCCTGGCACGAATTATCAGTGTTCAGAGACTTTATTGCTTGTTCACTGATGGGCCAACGCTCTTGATGCGTTTTATGGAATATAAGTTTTGTATGTGCAGCCAAAAAGTTTAAAAATATTTTTTTTTTTTTTTTTCAAAATATTATAGTTAAATAGAGGTAATGCATAGTTTTACTAAACATTTTCTGTCAGTATTACTTTCAATTTAGTTACTTAATACAGAAACATAAAGTTTCATAAATATGTATATTTATAATTTGTTGTATGATCTTAAATTCACTTATTGCGAAATCAAGTTATTCTACTACTTGCATAATAGCTGCAAAGTAAGTTAATAATAATTTATTTACTAAAGAAATATTTATTATATTATCTCCCAAGATTAATTTTAGTAGAATTATCTAAAAAGAGTGAATCCATAGTTGAGTAAGTTTAATTCCCAAAATTGTTTTAAAGTAACTTGAATGTAAATTGTTAAAAATGTTTAACGGGGACTTGAATTAAATCATGAGTAACAAAATTTCAATTGTAAAAAGAAAGTAAATTAAAAGCAAAGTAATCATTGCCACTGATCGGAAATTAGTTGACTTTTCAAGGGGAACAAAACACAATGGCAATGAGGCTGTTAATTTAATTTCTTTTTACAACTGAAATTTTGTTATTTGTGATTTAATTCAAGTCTCCGTTAAACACTTTTAACAATTTACATTCAAGTTACTTTAAAACAATTTTCGGAATTAAACTTACTCAACTATGGATTCACTCTTTTTAGATAATGCTACTAAAATTAATCTTAGGAGATAATATAATCAATATTTCTTTAGTAAATATATTTATAATTTTGTTCCGATATAATGAATTAAGATTTCCCAGAATTCAATACATTCTTAAATTTCATTTTTCAGTATAATAATATGCAGTTATTTTTAAAGGGTGTAAATGGTGAAAGTTTTGAAATATGAAAAGAAAACTATGCACTCAAAAAAATTCAAATGATAACGGATTTTAAAATAAAATCATGTAGAACTGATCATGATTAGATTAATCTTCCTTCAGTTAGGTTTTTTCTCAAGAATATTTATGTTTTTAATATACATGCTCAAAGTTCAAATATTAGAAATTGTATAAATCATGCACTGAAGGAGAAGTAAGCTTTGCAACAGAAATTCAACTAATACCCGGAATAATATGATCACAATCCATCTGAATATTTAAAAAAGTCTGGGCAACATGTTTGCTTCCTATAAATTCATTTTTATTTATTACTATGCACATGTGTGACTGCTATTTTTTTTATACAGAGAATGTTTTCCCCATCTAGGGTTTGCAACAAAAAAAATTAAACAAAATACAAAACAGACATTCTAAGGCAAAACTGAAGTGTGAAACCCTTTTTATTCGCCAAAATGCACAATATATTTCTACTTCAACTAAAAGA